TCACAAGCTTCTCTATCTCATCACAAAGAACTTTAGGTAGCAGAAACACATTCATAGCATAAGACGGAATTGGCTGAACCCCAATTTCAGTAATAACGCCCTCCTTGCCCTTGATAAAAAGTGGTTATTTTAATTTTTTATTCTATTATAAATACGGTCCTTTAAATACCCCCGAATAACTCCTTTGTTTCGCCCTGCCATAGCCGGTAGTCCCAGGTATCGCCCCTGCTCCCCATCAGTAAAAATCCCAGTTTCTGTCTACAAATAACTCTAGTTTGCTCCGGCGTATTTGGACTAAAGTTAATTGTAGACTTCGCATAACTGACTACTTGACCTGACATCTCCTCATAAATTTTCAAAATATTTTTGAACGTATCACTTTCCGCGGGTCTGGCTTTGAAAAATAGAAAACTATCATCAGCAAAAAATAAATGTGATACGTTTGGCGCACCTCTACAAACCGCCACTCTATGCAGCTCCCCTCTGCTTTCCGCCTTCCTAAGCAATGAACTCAGCCCCTCTGCCACTAAAATAAATAAATACAATGAAAGTGGGTCCCCTTGCCTCAACCCTCTCCCAGGTATAATCGGTCCTCTATTACCTTTTTCAACCTGGACATAGTAGCTGACTGTTCGAACACACTCCATAATCAATCCAATCCATTTAGCATCAAAACCCATTCGTCTCATAATTTTTTCCAAAAAATACTAGCTTACCCTATCATAAGCTTTACTCATATCCATCTTTAAAGCTACAAAACCCTCTTTTCCTTTTTGTTTCCTTTTCAAACAGTGTTGTGTCTCAAACGCTACAACAATTTTATCAGTAATTGATCTCCCCGGTATAAACGCACTCTGATTTTCTCCTATTAAATCTCCCAACAATCCTTTCATACGGTTAGCCAGAACTTTGGAGAAAATTTTAAACATCACATTGCAAAGTGCTATAGGTCTCCAATCCCCCATATTTTCAGGTCTCTCCTTTTTTGGGATTAATACAATATTAGTGATATTTAAATCTCTCGCAATACTCCCAGAATTAAATATCTTCTTACATAAATCAACCACCTCAGGCCCTAAAATATCCCAATTTTTTTGAAAAAACGCCGGATTCATTTCATCCATACATGGGGCTTTCTCTGGGTGCATATTAAAAGCTGGTTCTTTAACCTCCTCAATTGTAATATGTCGTAATAACCTCCTGTTCAGCTCTGGACTCTCCATCCCCATCGGTCCTAGCCCTTCCTCGGCGATCATACTATTCGGTTCCACAAATAGATCCAAAAAATAATCTTGTATCATATCTTCCAGAGCTGTTCTGTCCGTTTCTCAGGCTCCATCCTCCCTTCTCAGGCCCACCAATTTATTTTTCCTTCTACGCGCTTTAACTGCATTATGAAAAAAATGTGAATTAATATCACCTTCTCTCAATCAGAATTACTTAGCCCACTGTTTCCAATACTGATTTTCCTTTTCCAACAAAGTGTTTAGAACTAGCCATGTTCGGACGAATTCTATGACATTGGTCGAATCCTCCTTCCCTCTTAGCGATGCTATCCTTTTTTTAGAGGCACGTATTTGATGCCGAAAACCTTTAATCCTGCTACCATCCCATTTTGCCAACTCTTTTCCACAGGACAACAAGTGATCCCCCACCTATAGTTCCTCGCCTACCCTCCAACTGTTAGCAACAATTGTTCTACACTCCTCCTCCCGTACCCAATTATTCTCAAAGCGAAATTTCTTTTATGTCCTACCATGACAAGCCGGCCGGATTTTTATTAGTAGAGCCATATGATAACTCGTGGGAGCCTCTACTGATGTTGCTCTAGCTTCTCGAAAATTATCGCACCAAAAGTCATTAACCAGGATCCGGTCAAGTTTTTCCTCTACCCAATTTGGTGTGCCTTTTTCTCATTCCCATGTCCACTGGTACCCGTCAAAAGGAAAATCCCTTAACCCGCTAGTCGAACCCGCTTCCTGAAAACCGCGTATTCTCCACGGAGGGTGGGGTATCCGTCCCTTTTTCTCAGAATTATATAAAATATCATTCATATTTCCCATTATCATCCACGTCAGTGTATTGTTCTCGGCCATCCTCGGAAACATCTCCCACGCTGCTCGCCTGCGGACTATTTCCGGGAAAACGTAATGACCCGTGAACCTCCATGTAAACCCTCCCTCGGGACTATAGATTTGGCAATCTATAGAATTAGCATTGACATCTAGCACCGTGATGTCAAAATCCTCGTTCCATCCCAAAAGAACTCCCCCTCCCTGTCCGTCTGCGTCAATACCTTCGCTATTCATACAACCAAGTGATCAAAGTATATATCTCTTTGTCCCGTCGACAACGCAATTTCGTTTCCATCAAAAAAATAATGGACGGTCGATTCTGATGAACAAGCTCCGTCAAACATTGCGTTGTTGCTGGATTACCCAGCCCGCGACAATTCCATGATAGGATGCTCATGGTCACTTCCCTGCCCAAGTTCTTCCTGTAGACTGAAACTACTGTCAAAATAATCCAAAGGAATTCCTCGGCGTCGTACCTGCCTACGTGAGGTACCACCGGACAAAACGGCTAGGCGTTGCCTACAACGGCGGCAACCCTAGACTATTAAGTTCATATCGAATCTCTCATATAATTTTTTCTTTATTTAATTAATAAAAATGTATTTTAAATATTTTTTTCATAAATCAGAATAATCGGTCTGATGGATAAGTGTACCGGGGGGTATCTATCCGAGGGGTTATTGCGGGGAGTAACTAGAGAGAAGTCAGAGCAAAAGTAAGAGAGAGAATATATATTGTTGAGAATGTATTGAGCGTATTGAACATGGATTACAAATGAGGAAAAGGAGTGCTATTTATAGTAGTAATAAATGCCAGATAGGGACACGTGTCATCATTCTGGTGGTCGAGGGGTCACCTCAACGGGGTGGCACTGGCACTCGCATGTGGCCGCATTAAATGCGGTGGTTTGATGTGACGTTTGTACTCGGTACGTTGATCCAGCGCATGTGGGTGGGAGATTCTGTCGAGGAGATGCCTTCGGCCGTAGATGATTGGCCGAAGGCTCTTCATACCGGGGGCCACTAGGTGCCGAGGGCTCTAGGTGCCAAGGGCTACTATTTTTGCCGCTTTCTCCCTGACACTTTGAGTGCTTAAAAGAAACCGTATTGTGTGTTTATTAGCCTTCGACCAGGGGGCCGAAGGCACACCAATGTTCGTCGTGGGCTGTTTGGCACTTGGGGCGCTGTGATTTGGGTCTGTTATGCTTCCTGGGCCTATTGGGGCTCTGCTACAGTAGTGGGAGTCTATGGACCGGGGGTTCCTGGGCCATATACTCCATCACGGTCAATACAGTCACTTCAACCAGAACTTCATAAATTTCAGCAGAATCAGTCGATTCAGTCCATTTCAGTGTTACCAACCGGGCTCTAAATAAATTTCCATGAATGGTAAATTCATTTCAATTTTATCCTACCACTATTTCCACCATTGCGTAGTAACGTTACTTGAGGCAGATTTAAGAAATTTTATCATTCCTTCAATTCGATCATTTTCTCATATCACTCCGATCCATCCCTATATTATGAAAGCATACTTATAAGTAATTTATATAATTTTATACTTGTAGGTAAAAGTATGATATACTACGTATATTTTAATAATAATTTTATTAGTTTTTCAACCACATTGATTTTTTAAAAATCAAATCATTTCCCGAAACAAAATGAAATGTACTAATTGTTTGTGCTCATAAACAAGGTTAGAAAAATCCAAATTTTGATATTTGAAGTTTATATGTTAGAACACAAAACGCGTACACTTGCATATATTTCTTTGAATCCACGCTTCAAGCCACAAGCTAAGATTGAAAAGTCTTAAGTTCACAAGTTGTAACTCTATGAAAATGACAACACAAGGTTGTAGTATGTATGACTTCCATAAATGCTCATCTCTCATGAAATCCATGACTACACTCTTACTCAATGCCTTCTATATGATACACATTCATTTCTATACTCTTTTTGCATATATAGTTGCACATTTACTACACTTTTTTTACATAACCCATTTCTACTTATATTGCGGTTACATTATACTCCTACATGAATAGACGGATGTCCATTCTTATGAAATAATGACATTTTCATAAAGATGATAGCTATATAATGTGAAATGTCATGTTATTCTTGTTACATGTCTTATTCTTTAAGGAAAAATAACTAAATGTCATTATGGTTTATCAGACATACGTACCATCTCTTATTCTTTAAGGGACAAAAACTACTAGTAAGATAGCATTGGCTTTAATTTTCATACACTATATTTATCATGGATCATCACAGATTAATTGTTGCTTTAGTTATGTAAACTTATAATATTACGCTACATCAAAGTTTTTGGACCTTGGCATAATTAAAAAACGAGACTAGCCAAATGAGCTAGTCACAGAACTAGAATTAAGACCATATAATACATATAGAGGAGTAGATAAGAAAGACTACTTTGGTATAAGCATGAGCATAGCTAGAGGCCAGGCTATAACCGATTGGATAACAAATGGTTTGATTTGTAGAAAATGCATGAACTATATAAAAGTGTTGTTTTTACCCACCCACTCTTTAATTTGTGTGAATGTTTTTAATTTAACTGGTTTCCGTCTCAAATCAAATCAGGTCAGACTAGAGTCAAACAAATTAGATTAGATCAAATCAGATCAAATTGGATTTCGATAATTGTAAAATACACATATAACACACCTCTACAAAAACACACCGGATAAAAGTTACAGTCCAATTAAAAATCATATATCTCCTTGCTACGTCAGTGCAAGTAAGATAAACTCATCCTAATCTAGTTCACATCTTTAAGTGATCATCAAATTATGGAGATCATTTGTCTCAAAAAGTCAAAACCTGTGCCAATTGTACGTTATGGGACCGTCATTAAAGGTCCTCAGATTACATGCACACACAAAGTGAAACAAAATAAGGCGAAAAGGGTAATATATGAATTGCTACTAGATGTCATACATGAACACAACTATATAGAACTTGCACTATATATACATTGACTGCATTTATGTAATGAGGATGATGAAAAAAGCACTACTAATTGCCCACCACCCCAACTGAACAGCTCCCAACACTAAATGCCCATCATGGCCTTCTCTTGACACATCTCCAACTAAATTACACCTCCATTCACACTTCAATTAAAGATTCTAAACAATTAAAAAAAAAACTGAAAAAGAAAAAAATACAGCAAAGAGAAATAGAAGCTAGCCATAGTTGCCTGTATGCTTTCCTGCCACCAAATCAAGAACACAACCAAAGGGGACTTTTTCTTCTGAGTCAATCTTTAATACGAGCAGCTAATTTATCAACTTTAACCAATCAAAGAACGAAAAGGGTATCCAAAAAATCTGAAATCTTGAAATAATTTCCAAGAAATCGGAAAAAGAAATCATCATGGATTTCAGTTGTGCAGAGGGTTGGGACCAGAAGGGACCAATCGTTTCTGCACCCCATATCTCGGATCAATCTCCTCCGCGGAATCAGAAGGCGGCGGCTGGAACGACGGGCAGCGGTGGATTATCTGCAATTGATAGCAGGCAGCTCCAGTCGCGGAAGTGGACCCCCCAGTCTTGAAATTCTTGCAGGGATGATAAAAATCCCGAACCTGGATTGTTGATGATGATGAAGAAGAACTGAACAGGAAGAGGAGAAATAAAACCATTACCAGAAAATGATACCCAAACACCGTTCTTGGTGACAAAAGCGAGATTCTCATTGTGGGTTTCCGATTTCTATCAGAAAGAACGGATTTTGAATTGAAATCTTTGAAGGCAGAGCTTAAGTTCTTCCTTTCTTTCTTTCTTCTTCTCCTCCCTCTCTTTCAAGAATTAGAAATAATGTATATATAAACTGTGTTTGTATGATTGTATATGTATATATATAGATGTATTCTGGGTTGACCGCAAAGCATTGAGAGAGGAACACGTACGCAATTCTCATCAAAATCGTCACGCGTAATGCTTGCAGAGTTTAACTTCTCATCAAGTTATATACTTCTGTCTGGCAATTAGTATGGTTTTATTAATTGCCGCTATTGGCCTACGCTCAGATAGAGACTGAAATTTAAATATTTTCCAATAAAAAAAATACTACAGAGTATGAATTTACATATAGAAAAAAAAGAGCTGAATTACATATAGGGCACTAGATCAGGGCGCAAAAGAAGTGGTATACCACCAGATTAGGCTGACTCGATTTACAAGATCCAAAATTTTAAAAATACTACATTCATTTAATTTTTAAATGAATGCAACAGGTGAATTTTAAATTATTTACATGTTACACTATGATTACATTTTATTTATTAATAAATTATTTTGAAAAAAAAGTGTTATAAAATTTGTCTCATCATAGATTTTGAGAATCTGATTAAATATACTAATGTTCAAAGTCGTGCATCGACAAACATGAAAAGTCGATTGTTACATTTGTTTAAGAACGGAGGTAGTGATTCGTATATTTTTTCCCGTATATGATATACGAAAAGCTCCTTTGTGGAAGAACTCTTTTTTTTTGTTTCAAAATTCAATTTTTAGTGTCTTTTAACAAAAAAATAAAATTTAAAAAGTATTTAAGACATAGGGAGTAGTATTTAATCAAAATTATGTAATATTTTAATTTCGTAAGGCCTAATTATTATAATTAGAACAAGATCCTCTCTTTTTTGGACAATTCTTTCTAACCAATTATAGTATATGTTCTATGTTAAGGACAACATCCTTGAACTGGAATGAGATTCGAACCTATGACCTACTCCTTGAGAGTGTCACAGTGATGTCATCAGATCACAAGGTATTTGGCGGAACAAGTTTCACTTTAAAAATGGGGCATCTTTGATTTTTTATGATCGTCCAATTTGTCCATTTCTAAAAATATTGTCATATACTACCGTACATTTTTATTTTATTTTAAGGATGCTAGGTTGAAAATTGACAGGAAATGTTGATTCTAAAAATTGAAACTTCTCACGACATGTTTATAATTTTATTTTCCTTCTCTTGAATACAATTCAACTTTTTTAATTGATTCACAAAAATACGTAGTGTGTTAAGACCAGTAATTTCATCTTATATTTTATCGGTTTAAGACTTCAACAGAGTGTGAATCTGCTTTAATTTGGTTTAGGTCAAGTATTTTTAGTATGGAGTATTAAATCATAAAGTTTCACAGTTTACCTCTAAAATCTAACATGCAAAAGTTATAGGGAAGAAACAAAACTTAATTTCTCTGATAACTAAAAAGTGAAAGCTAGACAATTATTATTATTAGGAAAAATTAAAAATAATAATCCCAACTATTGCTGGTCTGCTAACAATAATCCCAACTATATGGACCGTCCACCAATAATGGTCCATGACTGCATATTACCTGCTCTAACAAGTGATTTTTTAATAAAAATTAAACATAAAAATTTAAATTTAGGATTATTTATAGCGATTACCTACTATATCTCTTTAGAAATTATAAGAATTTATTTTATAATCGGTCACCTCGGACCATTATTGGCAGAAGGGCCCTAAAGTTGGGATTATTCTGAAATAATCGATAGTTGGTATTATTATGAGTGGACCGCCAATAGTTGGGATTATTACAATCAATTTTTCCTTATTATTATTGAAACATCTTGACAATGTGAAATGTTATATATATATAGGGAAGAGTTCAAATAAAAAGACCTCTTCTCGTGCAAAGTGCGAAGAAATGCACATTTGCATGTTTTGTTTGCACTTTTGCGTGTTTCTGTTGCACTTTTTCGCGGTAACGAAAAAGTGCAACATATTTACGCAATTTCCACCGCGATTTTGGTCGAATTTTGTGCATTTTTGACTCATTTTGAGCCATTAGATGTGGAAATGAATGCACAAGATTCATTCTCACTTACACAATATTTAGGATGACAGTTGTTAATTTTTCTCTTAAACGAAATTTAACTATAATATTTTGGCATTTAAAAAAACACTATAATAGTCCGACATGACAAAGTTTATTAATTTGATTTATAGATATCATGTACTATATGTTCTCATGAATATAATGTGAACTCGTTTAGTTTTGAAGAATTATTATGCCTCAAATCTGTTAATAAAACTGTTTTCTAATTCAAACTCCGTTACATGTGCTATTGTTTGCAACCTTTGAGAATATGTGTACACATTACAAGTCATACAATAGGTAACATAATAACAATACTAGAATAAAATAAGCTACAGCTTTATTAAATTAAAATAAGCAGCATTAAACACAGAAATACAAAAGTATTGAAAATAAACAAATAATTCCTAAAAAAATTAAACAAACAATTACAAAATATAAAAGTTATACTTAGTATAATTTACAAGCTGAATGTATTTAAGCTACAAAAGTTATGGATGAATTGGAACGAGTACATTAAATTGGTTGACATGTGAAAATTGTCTTCTTCGACAAATTTGAGAAAATACTTTCAACTTTATATATTTTAATTATTACTCATCTTGCGTTACAACCAATTTAGTGTTTAATAAAAGTATAAACCGGAAGCTGATGATAGCACAAAACTAGATTACTAAATGGCTGTAGATAGCCCCCCTATTCTAGCTCGCTCTGTTAATTTGAAGGCAGAACTAATTTCACTCCGTGGAACTAGTCTTGTTTGTTGTTAACTTGTTATTATCTCCTCTTTATCTGTCATATAATCTATTTTAAAGCGTCTTATGTCATAGACTTGAAGATAGATTAATAATTATGTATTGACTTCTTACAAACAACAAATGCAAATAGTACACACATGAATAAGTCCAAAATCGGGTTTATTTCACTTTATTTATGTCAAAAATGCCGTGACTAAATAATTTAGTTAAGATATGCCTACGTACACAATTCTTAACTTTTTTACCTGGGAGAGGAATATGTGAATCAGACTAAAATGTACTCTATCCCTCCAATATAAGCTTGTCACTTACTAGTATTTCTTTTAAACTTTCAACCAAAGTTTTTCATTCATATTTTAGGAAATAATTATCACTCTAAAATAACAAATTTATGATCAAATATTAAAAATGACAACACTTATAATATCACAACTACTTGATCTCAATGACCTCATTATGTTATATGTATGTTCATCAAAATTATTTATCAAAATGTACTCGATTTATCGTATTTAATTATTGTCTATATAATTGTATCATTTTCTAATGAACATTAACTAAGTCGGGACGAGGTAATAATTAATTATGAAGTTTTGGCATATGACCAAACCATAAAGTGAGTCATGATTGAATTCAAACCAAGTATTATCTATGTTGTCTTTTAATTACAACATTGTACTTTTTGCACTATTAACATAATCTACTTTGACTATATTTTATTTATTAATGTATTATAAATTAAATTTTTAGAAAGTATTGTTAAATTCTTTTTGTTCTAACTTTTCAAAAACTGAATTTTTTAAATTTTTTACTAATAAGGAATGAAAAATATTAATGGTTAAACGTATGCGTTGTCAAACGTGAAATGTAGATTGTTGCAATTAAAATGGAACGGAGGAAATATTAATGAGAGGGTAATACTAGTGGATGGATTAATTACACCATTAATTCGATGCAGGGTGGATACGGTCCTCGACAAGCTAGTTTCGAAAAATATTTTTGGACCTAGTTTTTGTATCCTGGAAGAGTAAGAAACAAAATGTGGTTTCTCGTTCTAGCGCTGAATCGAAATGTCGAGCTATGGCACAATCCGCATGTGAGATAATATGGATACATCATTTATTGAATGAAGTCGGATTGAAGACACCAATGCCTGCCCAGTTGTGGTGCGATAACCAAGCTGCTATACACATAGCAAACAATCCATTATTTCATGAGAGAACAAAGCATATTGAGATTGATTGCAATTTTATTCGAAAGAAGATACAAAAAGGATTGATCTCTACCGGATATGTGAAGACTGGGGAACAACTTGGAGACTTATTCGTTAAAGCTCTAAATGGGATTCGAGTTGATTACTTATGTAACAAGTTGGACATTATAAATATCTATGCTCCAACTTGAGGAGGATTGTGAAAGATATTAAAATAATAATAAGAATATGCTTTAGGAATATACTCTAGAGATTATCAGTGTATAGCATCTTATATAAGAATATTTCATCTTTGTAATCTATATATATGGTCTTGATCCTTCAATCAAAAATACAAAAAAAAAATCCTTTCCTCTCCAATATCATTTATTTTCTTATATGCTCTATTTCAACAAATTGAATTACTTTTTATTAGTTTTTCTTTTTTATTATAATGTACAATATGATTATCCTATTAAGTTATGGTAAGGGTAGAAATGTAGAATAAGAAAATAGATTATAGTTTTTTTGGGAGGGAGAAAATTATTTTTTAAATATATACACTAAAAAAATTGTTGGGGGCGGTAGCCTCCCTGGGTCTCTACTAGACTACTACGATCCGCCCCTAATTAAGTGCAAGTAAAAAGAGAGATTGTGTGGGTGCATTTAAGTTAGAGATTTTAAATTTAAGTGCATCTCCCATAAAAACCTAGGTAAATAAAGATTGTGATTGCGCAAAAGTTGATAGATTTAGAGATTATTTGAGATATTTTATGTGGGAGTGATATAACAATAACAAAGCATAAAAATCCGTAAATTTGAATAGCATGAATGTAGATGCTCTAAAGCAGCGATCAAGACCTGCCCAGCGAATCCAAAAATGCCGAAAAATAACTCACAAAATTCTAGGCATAATAGTGTAGCTATGACGCAGTATAGCTTTTGATTGTCAACTTAAATTCATTGTTTTTATCAAGTTTAGGAACATTTTCATGTTATTTCACCTCTTAGAGCATCCGCATTGCAGGATAGTGTAGTCTAGAAAAAACATGTCAAATGTCAAATACGTAAAAGGCTTTCTACGTGTAGTATGGGACTAGACATTAAAATATGAAAAAGGCCTCCAATGCATAAAGTCTCCAAGTGAAATTAATCATACATTTATATGTATTATGAAGTATTATTTCTTTAGGAAACTTTTCTTTGGAGTACATCAGTCGCCGGTCAGATCTTTCATACCGCTTTTCTTTAACTTTGTGCAACCGGAACACTATAATCCCAACCGGAATAGTATAATTCTTCCATACAATATAAATCCTCTATTTTTCAATTTTGGAATGGTTGAACAATAGAACCCCAACAAGTCATCTGTAATCCGCATCAATCAGGCCTGCTCCCAAGTCTATTGAATTCTTCCATGCCAATCAAGATAGGGGTGCTATATGACTCATCCAAAAAAAAGATAGGGGTGCTATACGAGCATGCCCTTGACGGAAACCTACGCCTCCGCAAAACAGGAGATCGAGGTTGTAGTGGGCGGAGAGGGCGAGCCTCTAGAGGGAAAAACAACGTTTCGATGATGGTCAAGCTTAATTTTTTTGAGCAATTGTTATGATATGGCAGAGGTGGAGGCGCGGAGTACTGGTTCTCGATCAGCCATTGTTGTGGTGGTTATTGGAAGAGTAGTAGGGGAAGGAAGAATTTAATAGGGCTGGAAGAGGCAGAATGAATTTTTACGGTTGAAATTGTCCAGATCAGCAAGTGCAAGAGACTTTCTACACTCACACTATTATCTTCACACCGTTCAACTTTTTTTGCCAAATCAGCACAAGACTACGTGCATTGGAACTGAAATTTAGCATTTAGTGCATCAATTGATTACATGGCACACTTTACTTTCACTAGGCATGGTAGCATTGCGGTTGCTCTTAGACATCACCTTTTACTTTACAAAAAAATCTATTTGTACACACTTTATGTACATGCTCGCTTTTGTCTATGCACACACAAAAATGTACACGGGACATGTACAACTTTGGCATGTACACCAAACATTTTTGGTTCAAAATAACCTTATAAAATTTCAACCATATTTGATGTATACACCCTTGTACACACCCTTGTACACACCTTATACACACCATGTTTGTGAAGCTTTTTTTTTTGTCTGTGAATCCGATTCACAGACAATATTTTGTTTGTGCATAACATTGTCTGTGAATCGATGTTCACAGACAAAAAAAAAGTTTTCACAGACATAAGTGTGTACAAAAGTGTACAAACATCATTTTTTTTGAAATTTCAAAAACATCACTATTATAGGTAGGATGTTTCACTTGCACTGAAATAGATGATATTGCTATTTGGTTATGAGTAGACATTGACAATTCTAGTAATCATATCGCATTACAACGTTGGTATTACAAATAATCCTTCAATAGGGAAAATGACACAAGAAAGAGACTCGTAATGACTTGAAATGACCCGTAATTATTAAGGTTATGGGACATGAACGTTGTGGTTGTGGAGATTGTCAAACCTGATTATGTATGACTAATCCATGACTAATGAATAATGACAGCTACATCTTGGGGTTTGGCTTAAATTCAAAGTTTGACGAACCAAATGTACCCAACCTTTGAACAACATTTATTGCTTATAAACGATCAATTCATGATATACAAGTAATACAACAAAAATTAAAGAAATACAAAGAACCAAAATTTTATAATACAAGAAGTTTGAAAATATAACAAGATAGTGTGTCGCACTTCACTTCCCCAGCAGATGACGGGTGCGTTGATTGGCGCCTTTTACTCGAGAATTCAATTCATCCACGTCTGTTTCTAGGTGGTCTAGAGCGTTGTTTTGCCTGGATTAATAATGCAAATCAAGATTGAAGCTTCCTCTTATTTTGATGACGAAAAAACTAGGGGGAGCAACTTTGTTGCTTATAAAGATCAGAAATTATCCAAAGGAGTAAAAATAATGTAAAGAATAGTCTAGTGCACATTAGTGTCTCCGCAAGGTGAGGACCGAGAAGGCGAGAAAGGATCGCATCACAAGAGTTGGTGTATAAGGAGCACGTAGGAGCACGTACAAGTGACTGCTCCCACGATTTGAACCCCTGATCTCTCGGCCACAAAGCAACACCGTAGCCGATGTGCCAACGCAATTATGGTTATGATTGGAAAATGTCGCGGAATATGACATCAATGCTGTTATATTAATATTTGGTAATGTCAAAATATGATAGTATGATTGTAGGAGTGAAGAACGGAGTGACTGACCTGTCAAGTTCACTGCCCATATCAGTAGCCATTCCCTTTAGTTCACCCAATATACCACTAAGCTCAGAGAGCGCATCATCTTGTTTTGCCTTCTCCATCTCAACTTTCTGTAACGTGTTTGTTGGTTCACAAGGAGGTGTTGTGGGTGCTGATTTCCCCTTCGCGTTCAAACCCAACTTCTCCCTTTGTTCTTTCCTAGTTTGCTTTGCTTTGTAGTTGTCGTCTGAAAAGCCAAGATAATAAAAAACAATTACTACAAAATGCAAAACACCTTCTTAAGAATTAGCGGAAAGTATGGGGAAAGAACAATGGTTCCAACTTTTTAGTCATTTTACTTATGTATTCCTACTATACAAAGAGTAAAAATTCTTAATATATGTATATAAACTTCAATAATATTAACCATATACGATAGTATAATTTTCTTAGATTTTCAGAACAGAACCGAACATAAGAAAATCACATTTCTTTGCATCTCCACCTTTCCAAGTACTTTTGAAATTCAAACATATCCTAAGAGATTGGGATACAAGAAAGTGTAAAAACCTTTTGAGGTCAAGGGCCCTGTGATATCCTTAGTCTTCTTTGGCTTCCATGGCTTAGAGAACATTCCACCAAGACTATTCAATAACTTCTCCCCCTGCAGTATACACCTTTGTCCACCATTAAAATGCCATTTAAGTTAAGTTGAAAACAAACGAGTTCTCTAAGAGCACTAGGAGGTAGATTAGGCATCTAGGTCTAGCACCATATAGGAAGTTTCATATGATAATTGCCCTTCTGATAAGCACTTATTGTAATGTGAGCAGTTTCACTCCCCACCATCCAAATTAACATCAACGCTCAAGAAACTGAGTGACTCAACTACTGTTAAAGATTTGCTTTTGGATCAGTTGAACAAGGACTTATGGCTTCATGGTACAAAATCATTTCTATTTGAATATGGCAACAATATGTAAGTGGCAGAGTATGAGTCTAACCTCAAAAACTAGCAGTAAGAACAATGAATTCATCTCTTATACTCCGTATACGTTAGGAATGGATGAATACATTCCTAACTTGGGATAGTTTAAAAGATAACACAACCCATCCCCACGTATACGTGTGGATGCAAAACCAATTTGCAACATGGGATATAATGTGCTCATACAAACCAAATGCATCAGCCAGATACAACGAAAAGATCAATTATAAAAACAAGTATGCTCATCATCAAGTCATATCTAATAAATTCACTAAAAAGAAAAAATGAAAAACAGGAATAGGCGAACCTTGCTCAAATCACGGTCCATCTCAACAGCCATCTCATGAGTCCTATGAATCTGCTCCCCCTGCTGATGCAACATCTCAAGGGTCCTAGCCCCATCCTGTCTAATATCCTCTGCGATCTTGAGGCAGTTGCTAACGGATTTGGTGGTCTCCTCAGCCTGATTCACCGCATAGTTTTCCAGCTCTTGCACAGTCATGCTGTCCAGTGCTGGCTCCGAAGATGTTCTCCTGCCAGCTGTAATTGTAGAAGCATTGCTATTTGGCTTGGCTTCAGAATGCAAAGGGCTTGCATTCGCAGATGCCGGGGGCTTTTTTCCAAAGCCAAACATTGAACCCCAACTACTACTATCTATCAAGAACAATTATCCTTCCTGAAAACGAAAGGTAAATCATTCTTTTTTACAAGTTTAAGTCTAAGAAGCCAAATATCATATATGACATTTTCAAAAGCTAGACAACAAGATGAAGATAAACCTTTTGTATAAAGTGTATAATATAAATATGAGTAGTTGTCTGACATGGTATTAACGAGATAATTCCCTAAGTAGGAGTAAAACATGTTCAAAATGCAAGATTGGGACTGCAGTGTTTAATAGGGTAAAAAGACCTGAGTTGACAAAACTAACTAATTTCTTTAGTGTTGATTATCAAAATAGGACTAAAAGTCACTCGTTTTGCACAAATAGGACCAAAAAGTAAACTATGCTTTCATACGACTAATTGTGTGTGTCTTGGACAGATATACCCTTATAGCTATTGAAATGTTTTAATTCATAATAAAATAATAAAAAATAATAAAAATCGTAAATAATACTAAAAAATTAATAAAAATAATACTCCCTCCGTCCCGAATTGAATTGCAAACTTTGACCGGCACAAGGATTAAGAAATGACAATAAATGATGCTTGCTTTTTACACTTTTGTCCATCTTTCCAAAAGTAGATACCTTTAAGTTAATGGGAAAAAAGTAAAAGTAAGGGTAAATTTGTCACTTTATTCTTATTTACATACCTAAAATAGAAAATGTAAAACCATTTTGGGAAAACCAAAAAAGGAAATTTTTCAAATCAAATTGGGACCGAGGGAGTAATTTATTTTTTTTTTCATAAACAAAATTAAAAAAAAATAAAAAAATTTAAAACTCAAAAGAAAAATCTCCGCCGCCTCTGCCGCAGAAGCAGCACCACCTCCGGTCACCAGGGGAAAAATGCCAAATTCATTACGAATGCCATATTTATGGCAGAAAACAATGAAAATGTTGGTATTCTCAAAGAGAAATATGACATTTTTTGGCATTTTCGGAAAAAAATGACAGTTTTTAGGAAAAATTGCATTTTTTTCACCGGCCGGAGGTGGTGGTGCAGGGAGGTAGTACGGGCGGTGAGAAAGGCATCCATATTTTTTTAATTTCTTTTATGGAGTTTTACTATTTTTTATTAATTTTTTTAAAAACAAATAATAAACTTTTTTTTTGAAATTTTTTCGAATTTATTATGAATCAAACATTTAATTATGGCTTTTGACTATTTTAAATTCATATTTAAAGGAAGGGTAAGAATGGAATAAAAAAATAGGTATGTTTCCCATAGACTAATATGGTCATATTTTGATTATAAAAAAAACATAGCAAGTTCTATTTTAAGTTTTTGTCATATTTTTTGTCCTATTTGGAGTAATTTCTAATTTCTTTATTAACAATTAATTTTATAAAACTAAATAACACCACAGATTTCAGCAGATCAACACACGGTGGTGCAATAGAGTGATAGACTGCTATGCTACCACTGTCATCTCCGGCACACCGTCGCCTGATCTGCCGCCACCGCCGACCCCTTCATCTGCCGCCGCCGCAGACCCCCTCATCTGCCGCCACTAGCGACCTCCGGCAAGTCCTCAAGCTTCATCTTCCACAGCAGCAGTCGACCGTCCACTGTCCACTGTTTCAACCTTTGCATCTTTTCCAGATCGTCTACAAGAGGCCATGTGCAGAGATAATCAGAAATCGTGGTGAGACTTGCCCAGCACCACCGCCTCAATGCCTAGTGCAAATGGCATTGGCAGCGGCGCACGCCGGCACCACCGCTGCTCTTACACGCTCTCCAAAGTCCGCATATTGCCATAAATTTATTTACATTACTATTTATTTACACATTAATAACTAAAATAAAAATTGTTTAACAGAATGTGAACTTTTAAGTGTAGTAACATTAGTCATAGTAACTTATATTCAATTTTTACATTTAAGTGGCATGACATAATAATATAATAACATGTAGTCATATTTTGAGTAATATTTTAGAAAAAAAAACTGTTATTATGATTCTTTTCAATGTTGTTAAGTCTCTTACTACAAATATTTTTATTATGCAACTAATTTTCAGCCTTTGTAGCATATATGAGTGTTTCACTATATCTATTATTTATAAACTTTAAATAATTACTTTGTAGGGAAATTCAAAATATGATATTTTTGTATGATATTATGACACATCACATTTATATAATTACTGATACGAAAATTAAATTAAAGAGTAAAAACTATGAATGCCTTTCCACGCCTAATCCCTGCCTAAGACCGCCCATGTTCCAAAGGCTTAAGGCTTGGACGTGCCGCCTCGACACGCCTTACGCCTTTTTGAACATTGCTATTGATGTCCTATTGCCATGTTTAATAATGTCATTTTAATACTCCCTCCATCCCAATTTGTTTTGCAAAAATTTTTTTTGGCCGTCCCAAAATATTTTTACACTTTTCATTTTAAGTAAAGGGAAAGGAATAAAATGACACATATGCCCTTGGACTTTATTTACCCATGTACAAAGATATTAATTCCCAACTACCCATGTACGTCTTCCTCATGCCCAATACTGTTCGAGCTTCTCTTTCTTCCCCTAAAAATTCCAGTTTAAGATTTGAGTGAGCTTCACATAAACCTTAGTACGGACGGAGTATTTCAATTATCTTCCAGATTTTAAAGAAGATGGGAGGCCCTGGGAATCGGCCCTAGGAGCCAACGGTGAGGCGTGTGAACTACGGAGCTACTGAAGTCCGCTCTGCAATTGCTGGATTGGCCGCCGACGGTGGCACTGTTCTCGGCGAGCGGCGATTCCGGCTAGGGTATTCTCGCCGGATTCCGCATCAAGCTGCTACGACGTCAAGGAGAGGGCCGTATTGGCAAGAGGGCGAAGAAGATGGTTCTACTAATCTGAAGCTAAAATGGGAGAAGAGAAGACGGAATCCCCATGTGAGGAGAAGAGAGCAAAGGGTTGAATTGAAATCGCCATTGTTGTTCGGTTGAAACCAACAAAGATGAGTGAAGAGATTGGGTTTCGGGCTTTCAGCTTCGAAAAACGAAATACTCGTGTAGCAATTGACAATTGTACTTCATGCTTCAGTTTTCACATATCGTTTGAGATTTTTCCTCTTTTGATAAAAAGGGTAAAATGGTAAAGCCAAATTTTATTTCTATACTTCCTTAATCCGTGTGCCGATCAAAATTTGCATTTCAATTCGGGACGGAGGGAATAGTAATATCGCCATCTTTAGTACGTAGTAGTAATAATGTCATTTTAATGAGTGATAATGCCATTTTAGTTAGGCAAGTCAAAAAAATTGGCTCGCAAGGACGTGACCTGGGCCGAAACATTTGGGGGGTCCGGCCCGATCCGTCTTGTAAATGGGACGAGTCCCGCCCAACCCTTTTTGTAAATGGGGTGGGTCCACCCTGACCCACCCACTCAATGGGGCGGCGGGTCCGGGTATTAGTTTTGACCAGTGTCGCCTCAATCCGCCCCGCTCCGCTCAATATATTAGTATACATACTTTTTAAACAAAATCTATAGTAGAAATATACCTATACATATACCGATATACGTGTGTGTATAAATAAATAATAAATTCTTCGGTCTTATAATACTCCCTCCGTCCCATTAGAAGGTTCCCACTTTCCTTTTTTGGGCGCCCCGTTAGAAGGTTCTCATTTCCATTTTAGGAAACAATTAACAATCTTAAGTGACAAATTATCATTAAATATTAAAAATATTACATTTATAACATCACAGTTATCAATACTAACTACATTATAATATATACATATTAAAATTATTTCTCAAAATATACTCGAAGTACTTTATTTAATTATTGCCTAAATAACCGTGCCGTTTTGTTATGGGAACCTTCCAACGGAACGGAGGTAGTATGTATTAATAGAGGGACAATTCATGTCCAACCCGGTTTGACGGGAACCGCCGTCCGGCCAAGGGCATTTCAGGAACTTTCCGGTGGAATTTTTTGATGAAATTTTGAAAGCATATTTTTCATTAAGACTAGTTTACCCATACCAAATTTCAGCTAAAAATACAATCAAGAAAACTGTCAAACTGCGCGGTCTTTTGAGAGCAATTTTGATATATATATATATATATATATATATATATATGTGTGTGTGTGTGTGTGTGTGTGTGTGTGTGTGTGTGTGTGTGTGTGTGTGTGTGTGTGTGTGTGTGTGTGTGTAGAGTCATTCTCCTGTCCAACAGCCTTACGTCCGAACGCCGTCCGAACGCCGCCGTTTGGGGCGCTTCTCGGTGAAAGTTTTTGTTGCAATTTTTTGAGCATGTTCCTCATCAAGTCTAGTTTATTCATACCAAATTTCAGCTTAAAACTCGATCGGGAAGGCAGTCAAATAATTTGTTGAAGTTAACTGTGCAAAATTGTACATAAAAAAACGCAGTCAACTTCAAAAAATGATTTGAATGTCTTCCCGAACGAATTTTAAACTGATTTTTTTTGTGGATAAACTAGACTTGATGAAAACATACCATAAAAAATTCATCAAAAAATTCAACCGGGAACCGCTCCAAACGGCGGTGTTCGGACGGCGTTCAGACCGAGGGCTGCTGGACCTGAAAATTTATATATATATATATATATATAGGGGTGAGATCACATACAAACCATGCTTAACTTACTAACCTACAAACTCAATAATATGCAACACTTTGAACTTGAATATGCAGTACAAATAATGTAAAGATGCACTCTTCGAATTTCAATATGCAATACAAATAATGTAAACATGAAATTGCTATTTCATGGCTTGAATAATATGAAACACTTTGAACTTCAATGTGCAATACAAATAATGCAAAGATGATTTGAATGGGAGGACTAGTTTGTATGTGATCTCACCCCTTCATCTTTACATTATTTTTACTGCATATTGAAGTTCAAAGTTATGCATATTATGGAGTTTGTAGGTTAGTATTTTAAGCATGGTTTGTATTTGATCTCTTTTATATATATATATATATATATATATATATATATATATATATGTGTGTGTGTGTGTGTGTGTGTGTGTGTACATGTATATATGTTTATATATGTGTGTGTGTATATATATATGTGTGTGTGTGTGTGTGTGTGTGTGTGTGTGTATATATATATATATATATATATATATGTATGTACATATACGTTTTGGTTCAAATAAGAACATGATCTTAGGAGAGAAATGAAAATGAATCTAGCCCGTTAGATTTGCTTTAAGTGAAACTCAATGTGTTGCATGAGATGAAACTCTAATGTGCATTAAATGAAATTGAAATGTGCAGCACAAATGGTACGATACAGTGACATTATGTGAAGCTGAATTGTGCATTAGGTGAAATTGAAATGTGCATTAGGTGAAACTGAAATGTGCTGAAATAAAAGGTACGATGTGATGTTATTTTTGTACCTTTTATTTCGCACATTTCAGTTTCACCTAATGCACACTTGAGTTTAAATTTTTATTCTGCACATTTCAATATCATCTGATGCACATTTCAGTTTCACCAAATGCACAATCCAGATCCACACAATACAATCCAACGGTCCAGATTCGTTCTCATTTCTCTCCTCATTTCTCTCCTGGGAGTCCGTTCTTATCGGAACTGCTCCCTGTACATATATATATGTATATATATGTGTATATATATATATTTATATAGGGGATGGTTCAAATAAAAAGAGGTCTTAACGTGCAAAGTGCAAAGTTTGCACTTTTTCATATTTCGCTTACACTTTTTCATATATATATATATATATATATATATATATATATATATATATATATATATATATATATATATATATAGGTTTTGGTTCAAATAAGAACATGATCTTATGAGAGAAATGAGAACGAATCTGGACCGTTAGATTTGCTTTAAGTGAAATTCAATGTGCATTAGATGAAACTGTAATTTGCATTAGGTGAAATTGAAATGTGCAACACAAAGCGTATGGTACAATGTCATTAAGTGAAGTTGAATTGTGCATTAGGTGAAATTGAAATGTGCACTAGGTGAAACTGAAATGTGCAGAATAAAAGGTAAAATGTGATGTTATTTTTGTACATTTTATTTTGCACATTTCAGTTTCACCAAATGCACAATTGAGTTTAAATTTTTATTCTGCACATTTCAGTTTCATCAAATGCACATTTCCGTTCCACATAATACAATCCAACGGTCCAGATTCGTTCTTATTTCTCTCCTGGGAATCCGTTCTTACCGGAACCGCTCCCTATATATATATATATGTATGTATGTATGTATGTATGTATGTTAAATGTATATATAAAGAGCGCGGTCTTTTTCAATTACACGTTTGACTATCTTTCCGATCGAATTTATAGCTGAAATTTTGTATGGATAGACTAGACTTAATGAAGAACATGCTCAAAAAATGCATCAATAAATTTCACCGCGGAATACCCTCGGACGGACGGCGGTTCCTGTCAGGCCGGCTGGACATAGAGCCGTCAAAATGGGCCGAAACCCGCGGGCTGACCCGTTTAAACCCATTTATTGGTGGGTTAGGGTTGAAAATTTCCAACCCATTTAGTTCGCGGGTTTCACGGGTCAACCCACGCGGGTTGTGGATTTAAGTGGGTTGGCCCACCGGGTTGCGGGTTGGCCTGCGGGCCAATATACAAAAATATAGTTTTAAATTTTATTATCTTAAAAATTATCCTTTTACTACCAATATTATTATAATTACAAATAAAAAATTACAACCATGGCAAAACAATATTTATTTCAATAATAATTAATAAATATTCAAATAAAATGTTGAAACATACATTTTATGTGAAGTTCGATACAATATTTAACAATTAGTAGTCATTATTTACAACTAATTAATCAAAAGGTTTATGTGGATCTTTATTTTTATACAATGAGTATTTTTGTCGCATACTCTCTTATAGTTTTCAAATTCTCGTATAACTAGTACTTCCTCTGGTTCTTATTTAAGTTCCCAGTTTGACTTCACACATATTAAGAAAATGGATTTGACTTTACTGTGGAGTGCACTGTTTGACACTGTTTGGCACTGTTTGGCACTGTTTGGCACTGTTTTGTTTCCTAAAATGGAAGTGTAAACTTAAATAAGGGACATCCCATAAAGGAAAATGGGAACTTTAATAAGAACCGAGGGAGTATTTAATATTTTTTAATTAAACTTAACAAGTACTGAATTTTTAGTATTTTTGATTTTTTATATTTCCTTTGTTACTACTTACTAATATAAATTTATACTTCCGCGTGATTATTTTTAATTTTTTTTTTGTTATATTTTTTTTACATATTGGCCCGTGGGCCAACCCGTTTAACCCACGGGTTAGGTGGGTTGGGTTAGGTTGTAGAAATTTTGGCACGTCATTAAACGGGTTGGCCCGACCCAACTCACATAGACCATAACCCGTCACGGGTCGGGTCGGGTTGGCCCGTTTGACAGCTCTAGCTGGACAGGAACGAGACTCTGTATTAATATTTATATTTTAATGAGATGAGCAGAAAGTTATCAATATCGTTTTTATATATAGCAATTTATATATATTCAATTACTAATATACTAGCTAATAAGATTACGACGGGGCAGGGCAGACCCGCCCCGCATGGGACGGGTCATGGGTCTATAATTTTGGACCCGTGCGGGTCACGGGGCAGGGCGGATCCACCCAGTAAAGTCACGGGGAGGATTCGGGTCCTTCGGTACCCGCCCCGTCCCAACGCAACCCATTTCCATGCCTAATTTTAGTAGTAATATTGTCATGGGAGGGAAATGGGGTAAAAAAATCAGTACCTATGCATCTCTCATATTCAAAATTAGTGCAAACAGGCATTAGTTTTCAAAATAATATTCTCAAATTGAATAACATGATACAGAGAAAAATCAAAATTAAATTTTGAACTAACAAGAAATCAACCAAAAATAGTCAAATCGACCACAAAAAGAATCTCCATTATAATTACAATTGAAAACAAAAATATCTGCAACCCTTATAAAATTGATGAAAATCAATTAAAAAATCAATTCAAAATCGAAATGAAGCAAATACATAAAAAATGAATAATACGCAAGAAAGATGGAGGAGAAGAGGAGGAGAAGGAGAAGGAGAAGAAAGAAGATTGCAATTTACCTACGACATCCCTGCCGCCCACCGCCCGCTCGCCAACTGCCGGAAGAGAAAACTCCCCTTCTATACTTCTACCGTCTGTCTCAAACGGGAGTAATTAAGATTGTCAGAGAAATCGAAATCAGGTTACTATAGAACGGAGGAGGAGGATGTGAGAGTATGGTGGAATTGCGGGAAGAAATAATTGCGAGAGAATAGAAGAAGAGAATAAACGAGAGAGAAGAGGGGGAAAAAAAAGTGGAGGAAGATAAAAGGGTACCGGCAGAGAAAAATAAGGGAAGGCCAGAATATGAATGCTCAATTTTATGGTATTAAAAAACATACAACTCATGTGAGAAATAAAAAACATATACTTGTTCTGAAATGAAGAGGATGAAGACTAAATTTAAGAGATAGATATATTAATAAAAGCTCTGAATATATTCTTCTTAATCTCTGAATATTTTCTGAATTTCTAAGTTACATTTACAAAGGATTGATCACCCTATTTATACTGGTTGGCCAGGAGATGAATCATCAAAGAATGATTCTACAAAATCTGCTGGCAACATTAAACTTAACCATCTGTCTATTACAAGGATTGGAATTGGATTAGTGTCCTGATGACAAGGTTGAACAATTCACACTTGTTATTCTCAGGAATTTACAACACTCCCCCTTGAATGTTCATCCTTGAATAGGTATTGATTATATTAAAATTTATTTATAAAAATAATTAAAGTTAAGGGGTAAGATTTGTAACTTCAATGTCATTGTATTTGGATGTACCGTCTCGTTAAAAACCTTATCAGGAAAAACCCAATGGGATAAAAACCTGATGAAGGAAAAAAGAGTGCAGTGCATTCAAATACTCCCCCTGAATTTAGCATAAATTATGAAGACGTCACATGCCGATTTTCTGTACAAATTCTATGAACTTCTTCGGGGGTAAAGATTTGGTGAAGAGATCGGCCGGATTTTCACTGGATCTGATTTGTTGAATGTTGATCATCCGTTCTTTCTCCAGATCGTGAGTAGAGAAGAATTTTGGTGATATGTGTTTTGTTCTGTCGCCTTTGATGTAGCCTTCTTTAATCTGAGCTATGCACGCAGTGTTGTCTTCGTAGATCACAGTGGGTTGAATAGTAATAGGCTTCATACCGCATTCATTTTGGATGTGTTGAATCATAGATCACAACCATACACATTCTCTTCCGGTTTCATATAGTGCAATTAACTCAGAATGATTTGATGATGTGGTTGTCAATGTCTGCTTCATAGATCTCCATGAGATTGCGGTGTTACCATAAGTAAATACGTACCCGGTTTGTGATTTCGCCTTTTGAGGATCTGATAAGTATCCAGCGTCTCCATATCCGATTAAAGCAGCTTTTTCATCTTCGTGGTAGAATAAGCCAAGATCAACTGTACCACGTAGATAACAGAATATGTGCTTGATCCCGTTCCAATGACGTCTTGTTGGGCATGAACTGTACCTAGCTAATAAATTTACGGAGAATGCAATATTTGGTCTAGTATTATTAGCTAAATACATTAAAGCTCCAATAGCACTCAGATATGGTACTTCGGGACCAAGTATTTCTTCGTCATCTTCTCGGGGACGGAATGGATCATCGTGTATGTTGAGAGATCGAATCACCATTGGTAAAGTCAAAGGATGAGCTTTGTCCATATAGAATCTCTTCAAAACTTTCTCGGTGTAATTGGATTGATGGATGAAAATTCCATTCTTCAAATGCTCAATTTGAAGTCCGAGACAAAATTTGGTTCTCCCTAGATCTTTCATTTCAAATTCTTTCATAAGATATTTTGCAGTATTTTCAATCTCATCGGAAGTTCCAATAATATTTAAGTCATCAACATATACTGCAATTATGGCGAATCCCGAATTTAATCGCCGGATGAAAACACATGGACTAATTGGATCATTCTTGTATCCTTCTTTGAGAAGATATTCACTGAGACGATTATGCCACATTCGTCCAGATTGTTTTAGTCCGTACAATGACTTTTGTAGTTTAATGGAAAACATTTCTCGTGGTTTCGAGTTGTAAGTTTCAGGCATTTTAAACCCTCCGGGAACTTTCATATAAATGTCTGTATCGAGTGAACCGTATAAATATGCAGGCACTACATCCATTAGGCGCATTTGCAGCCTTTCAAAAACAGACATGTCAATGAGAAACCTTAATGTAGTTGCAACAACTACTGGAGAATAGGTTTCTTCATAATCAATTCCCGGCATTTGAGAAAACCCTTGGGCAACAAGTCGGGCTTTATATCTTACAATTTCATTTTTCTCATTGCGTTTACGCACAAATACCCATTTAAAGCCCACCGGTTTTACGCCTTTTGGCGTAGGGACTATCGGTCCAAAAACATCACGTTTTTCAAGTGATTTTAATTCAGCCTGAATAGCTTCATTCCATTTTGTCCAATCGTGTCGTTTCCGACATTCTTCAATAGATGTTGGCTCATTGTCATTGTTTTCATTCATAACATTTGTGGCAACGACATAGACAAATATCTCATTAATATCAATATCTTTTCGATTCCATTGTATTCCAGTAGAAACGTAATTTATTGAAATTTCATAATTATCAACGTTTCTATCATTATCTGGAATATCTTCCTCGTTTAAGGAATTGGATCATCATTTGAGATGTTTGTTTTGTCAATATCATTTTCTATGCTAGTATTTTCAAATTGTTCATGTTCTTGTTCAGAAGGATGAACATCTTTGGCATCACAGATCAATCCCTGCCTTTTAGTTTTTCTTGGTTTTATATCTTTAGATCCAAGTGGCCTGCCACGCTTTTTGCGTATAGAAGAATCATTTGCAAGAGATTTTTCAGAATTCTCTGCTGGGATTTCGATTCTGGCAGGGGCATTCATGGCAGGAATATGTGACTTTGTCATTGTCTTTGTGTCTTTGAATGCATCAGGCAACTGATTTGCAACATTTTGTAAATGGATTATCTTTTGCACCTCTTGCTCACATATATTTGATCTGAAATCAAGGTGTGATAATCCTGTTACATTCCATGTTATTTCTTTCGTACTTGGGTCCGATTTATTAGTTTCTCCCCCTAAGGTTGGGAATACTGTCTCATTGAAATGACAGTCAGCGAATCGTGCGGTGAATAAGTCACCAGTCATCGGTTCAAGATATTTGATTATTGAGGGAGATTCAAATCCAACATAAATTCCCAACCTTCTTTGAGGACCCATTTTTGTACGATGAGGTGGAGCAATTGGAACATAAACAACACAACCAAATATTTTTATGTGTGCTAAGTTTGTCTCTTGTCCAGTAACTAATTGCATTGGAGAATATTCATGATATGCAGTCGGTCTAAGCCGAATTAAATTTGATGCATGTAAAATAGCATGTCCCCAAGCTGATGAAGGTAAATTACACTTCATTAATAATGGTCTGGCGATTAATTGTAATCGTTTAATCAATGATTCAGCAAGACCATTTTGTGTATGGACATGAGCAACAGGGTGCTCCACATCAATCCCAATCGACATACAATAGTCGTTAAATGATTGAGATGTAAATTCTCCTGCATTGTCAAGTCGGATTCTCTTTATAGAATGATCCGGAAAATGAGCTCTTAATCGTATGATTTGAGCAAGGAGTTTAGCAAATGCTAGATTTCTAGTCGATAACAGACTGACATGTGACCAACGTGTTGAAGCATCAATCAACACCATAAAATATCGAAATGGTCCACATGGTGGGGCTATCGGCCCACAAATATCTCCTTGAATCCTTTCTAAAAATGCAGGTGATTCAGTTGCAATTTTGTTCATAGAGGGCCTGATGACCATTTTGCCAAGAAGAACAGGCCTTACAAGGAAAATCCCTTGATATTGGAACCCTTATATTCTTTAATGAGTGTCCAAGCGAAGTCTTAATGATTTTATGTATCATTACATGGCCTGGGTGACCTAAACGGTCATGCCACAACATGAATGTTTTCTGATCATCTAACTTTGTGTTAGAAACCGAATTTATTTCAAATGGACTAATATATGTGAAATATAGTCCTGAGGAATATGCTGGCATTTTTTCACAAATATATTTAGTGCCAGATTTAGTTGTTGTAAGACAAATATATTCCTTTTGGTTTTCATTCATGGTTTCTATGTGATAACCATTTTGACGCATATCTTTAAAGCTTAATAAATTCCTCTGCGATTTGCTGAAGTATAAAGCGTCATTTATAATTATTTTGGTCCCGTTAGGGAGCATCACATATGCTTTCCCAGAGCCTTCAATGAGCTTCGCAACACCTGATATGGTATTGACTTTAGCCTCAACTAAAGTCATTTGAGAGAAATATATTTTATTTCTCAAAATGGTGTGCGTTGTGGCGCTGTCTATCAGACATAGCTCTTTATCATTTGAGTGATCCATATCTTCAAAATGTGTAAATAAACATAAGCTTGATCACAAATTGTGCATATAATTTAACATAAAGTACATATATTACACACATTTATTTAAAAACAAAAGAAAAATGGAAGAAAGAAAAAATACATAAAACTAATATGTTACAACATAAGGATCGGAGTCTAATATTTTATTTTGTGACATTTTGGTTTATTCAAAAGCATCGTCCATAATGGCATCATCCGCGAAAAAGTCGGACACATCAAATTTTGGCAGAGGTGGAGTCGTGTCGTTGACATAATTAGCTTCCATATTTTTGACGTTGTTCAAATTCATGGAAGCTTGAAATAATTCCACCAGATGCTTTGCAGTGCGGCATTTGTTAGCCCAATGCCCCGTCATGCCACATTTATAACAAGTCGTCTTTACCGAGGTTTTTGGAGGGCAATTTATTTGATGGGCCTTTTGTTTGCCCTTGCCCTTATAATTTGGTCTATTGACCTGTTTATATTCTCGGTGTGACTTGTTTTTATGACCATTAAAATGCCCACGTTTAAAATGCCTTCTACTGCCACTGTATGTTGCATTTGATTCAGTGACTAAATTATGGCCAGTTGGACCATAAATCGAAGGACTAGAACCAGTGTGTCTCAGATTATGATTTTTCATCAAAAGGTCATTATTTTGCTCAGCTACCAATAATACTGATATTAAGTCGGAGTATTTTTTAAAACCCTTTTCTCTATATTGCTGTTGGAGCAACATGTTAGAGATATGCATAGTAGAAAAGGTTTTCTCCAACATATCAGCATCAGTGACTTTTTGTCCGCATAACTTTAATTTAGATGTTATTTGGAACATAGCAGAATTATAGTCACTGATTGATTTAA